TTACTCCACTTCCTCGCCTCTCCATCTTTCAAAATTGTAATCCACATTGTCACATGTGGAATGGTTCCCTAAAGTTGGCGACGATTGGCACAGACGTTGATGAAATTCGTGATTTGAGCTGTTCGTAGTGACGAACGAGATCCGGTGTCCACCCTTGTTTGGCTTCTCCACGGCGCTTGAATTGGCTTTCAACATATCAAGCAGATGATCAACATCACGTGCAAAGCGATCGCAGAACCATCGAACGTAGGTCGCAGTTCCTAACGCTGACTGCAAATCACCTTTCGTATTTAGTAGCGGCCACTCCCTTAACACGCTCGTATTCTTCGGGTCTATTGGTACGACATCTCGGCCAATAAAGTCCCTCAAGCACGGAATTTCTGATGAACAGAACACATATTTGCTTAATTTGTTGTAACATTTGTTTTTAGCCGTGTTAACACCCGGTTCAGAGCTGTCCAGTGCTCGTTTAAATCCTTACTTCGGGTGAAGATGTAAATATCATCGACATAGGATAGGCAAAACTCAGCCATGTCGTTGAGTAATCGATGGGTTCCATCGTTGAATGTTACGTGTATGCTGGATAATCCCATGGGAACCACCAAGTATTCAAAGGCTCTGTCAGCAGGTTGAAAAGCAGTATAATTAAACCTGCATCGCGCATCCTGAATTGGTAGTAGCCACTGTGTAAATCCATACAGCTGTGCCTACATAAACCTTCCTCTTTTCGTAAATCAAATCTTTTCTGGACATGGACAGTTTTCACCGTACCGTATGATTGTTCATTGTCCTGTTGTCACGCACTACAGGCTTTTTCACGCAGAAGGTTGGCACTACATGGGTGAAACAGAGGTTCGGATTAATCCGGCCTGGATCTTTGCTTCAATCCATAATCGAAATACTTGCTCTTGAGCTGGCGACTAACGCCAATGTTGGCTGAACATTGGTTCACTTATTTACCTCCATTTCATGGATTTCATGAGATTCAGTAGGCAATTTGTTGCCTAATACTCCCTTATGACGCTTTAACACATCATACACGCGATGAGATTTGTAGTCTTTGATATTAGCAACAGCTTTATCAGAGTCAATCAGTTCCTTTTTCGTGATAAGCCGGACAACAAACACACATTCGAGTTTTTGAAGTTTCCGAAGTAGTCGTTTGAATTGCTTGCCGGTAATATATTTTGTTTCTCCACTCGTAAGCGAGTTGTATCCATGTTGGAAATATCTACTATCCGAGCTGAGAGTAGGCCCGCCACCGGAAACACGACTCTGGGGATTGGCTTTTATGGCCTTGTCTTAGCTTTAGCTTTAACTTCCTTTTTAATTTTCTTCTTCAGAATATCGTTGTGTTTGGAACCGATTATCTTGATTTCACAATCTCTTCTATCCAATCGATGTCAGGGTTTACCTTTTTCAACCATGACATGCCAAGTAAGACGTTCGGGTTTTCTGGAACTGGAAATACTAAGAAATCTCTAACGTAAGCTCGGATTTCTTCTATGAACACATGCATTTTCAGTTTAAACAAGTTTGAGCACATAAAATCCTGGCCCCAAAAGTCCCGTAAAATAAGTCACTTCCGATTTTCTTAACAGGTTAAGAGCCGCATCGCTACAAGGAAAATAGATCGCAATATGGTCGGTCATCCACGTACGGCATCCACCGGTACTACAGATACAGGTTCACCTTTACGCAGCGATGCAAGTGCTAGAGCCTGATTCAAACAAGAGCCTAGCCGCCACTACAATCGCGTCTGTTCAAACCACAGCAGTGATCCTACCTACAACCTCAACGGCAGCCGTACTGAGACCACCAGTGGTCCGGATACCACGCAGTTGAGCTGGACCTGCCACGTCAAACCAATATACCCGATACACCTCCATATGAACGCATCGTGAAGGCATTCTAGGTTTAACGGATCTGCGGAGCATAGATCTGTTGCTTTAGGCGCCGCTAAATGGCTCCAACATTTATGTCCTTCTCCGAATTCAAGAAGACCTATACGAAGGTCGGATTACAGAAAGACTGAAAATACCTTGTTTTTCCAACACGAGGTGTAGCCAACCATTGATACATATCAAAATTGGACGTTTTACGTCCACTGGCGTTGGAAAACTACAAGAAATGCGTCTTCAGGCGGTTCAGCGCAAGTGAGGTCATCAGACCTGGTCGAGAACCGGGTTTCATGGTGGATTTCTTCCGTTCATGCACTCCAATAGTGAAGGTGAAACAAAGTGCGATTATGCAATATCCTCCTCAAAGCAATGGATTGGCAAAAGAGACGGTACAGACGCTGACACGGGCTTAAAGATGTACGTCTTCGACGTACATTTTTAATGCAAGACTGAGACGACTACGCCGAGCGGCTGACGTTTGCTCTCAATACCGCTGATGATCGAGTGTACGTCTGGGACGCCAGAATAATGTTGGGGAAACGCTACCCATTGGATCGACCAGGCGTAGGGATAACGACGCTCACCGATGGAGATACCATATGTAGTCACAGTACCGACGAGCCTGGGAAGCCGTGCAAAAATCCGAGGACAGCGATTGAAGCAAGAGCTGAACGACCCAAGGGGTATGTTAGGTCCCACATGATCGAACAAGTGTGACTCTACCTGGACCTGGTGAAGGAAGGTTCTGCGCGGAAGCTGGCCACATATGACACGCATTTTGCGTAGCAGAAATTGTTGGTGGTCATGTAGCGCGACAATAGACAACTAGGACATAATATCGCATCTTCCGCATAGTTCATCTCTCAAAGTTGAAGTTGGGGAGGACATTCCACAATCGGCCAACTACAATCCTTGCAGCCGGCAAAGAAGGTTCCGTCGATGTCGACGAGGATTCTCTACCGGAATACAGCTGGGAATTACCTTTGGACAACGTCGGATTCGAGGTGGAGAGGGCCACCGATGTGAGATACGGTTACGTGCATCGATAGATTCAGGTGTATTGTAAGGGCTACAACAAGCCTACGTGAGAGGCGCGAAGCTGACCTGAGTTGTGGGGCGCTCTTGGGCGAGTTTGAACTTGACCGGACGAGCAGCAGTCGTTTCAACGTGATGCAGTGGTACCTAGTGGATGCGAGGCACCTACCGTAGAAGCCAGTGTCAGTGGAACGAAGAAAAGAGTGCGAGGTGGTCGCACACATTCGATACGGGTATTACTTGTAGGATGAGGGAGATGCCAGCCAGGCAACAGGCAAAGGAAATGGGGGTGATCAAGGGTGTTACGGAAAGTGACTTGAGACTGACAGATCAAGATACAAACCTTGAAGATCTCGAAGACGACCGAGTAAAGCCGTGTTATGGAGACCATGGATCTGACCGAAGTTCGACCTAGAGATTAGATTAAAACCTGGAAGTTACGGTGGATGCCAATCTGAAGACAAACCTTGAAACTTGAAGACCAAGCTCTTGTCACAACAAGTTGACATCGAAGGCCAAAGTTCGACCTCCGCAGGTCGGGTTATTAAACAATCGTGATAACCCAGGAGCCAGATCGAAATCCACCTGATGCATACATCTGACGTAGGAATGTGAAGATCAGCTTTCATCGATCTGATGCGGTACTTAGGGAGACCAGCCGTTGCAGCAACCTTGGAGCGCAGTAAACAAGCAATAGTTGCCAGGTTGAAATTGACTCCTCGAAGACGATTGCAAGTTTATTTTCGTCAGATATTCATCGGTGACAGCAGGAATGACAGCATCTCAAGTGCAGATTAGCAAAACACTTTCTAAGCAAGGTTACACACGGAGCTAAGATAGAACATCACTAATGCCATAACCATCGTAATGTCAGCAGAAGGTCAATGAACGCCAAACAAGCATGTATCAACTACTATCATTAATGCAAAAATCCTCGTGGGTGACTTGGTAATTGGTGAATGCAGCAATACCTTTTACTGTTCGTATTACACACAGTTTTAATCAAGACACCGATAAAATACCTCATACACGTGCAACCTACACGAAACACGAGTCCTAAACATTGTCTAAGTCAGGTACTGGGGACGCATGGGCGGACGCGGAGAGTGGGTAAGGACGATACAAGAGTGTCTGCCAGACGCGAACGCTGTCCTCCGCACCTGGCGTAGGGGGTGAAGTGACTCTTCCATTCCTAATTGCCGTTGGCCGAAGAGCGCCGTTTGAAAGAGCTAAATCACCGCGCACTGCAAATGATGCTGTTGGTTGTTCCGACACTTCTCCGACAGCACTGACCTTGGTGAGTAAGTAAGTTGGTGTGTGGAAATATTGTAACCTGGGTACAAATATTTCCTTCTATCAGATCACGCGTGAATCTGACACAGAGAGAGCGACGATGTTTTGGCTGGTCAACGAGTCAATCCAGACGGGCTTTTTAGTGTGTTTTCTTGTCCGCACGAGCCGTGTGTGCAGGAGGTACTTAAGCAGCCTTTGGACAGCAAACGTGCAGCAACCTGGGTACAAATATTTCCTTCTATCAGATCACGCGTGAATCTGACGCAGAGAGAGCGACGATGTTTTGGCAGGTCAACGAGTCAATCAAGACGACACACGCTTCCCAAATCGTACGAGGAACAATCAAAAGTGCCAAATAGTCTGCAAAGCACAATATATTAAAAGTAGACCACGCTGTCGTTATTCCTGAACTGTTCGACAACAAATTAACCGTAAGGCGCTCAGAAATGGTAAATTATCGGCAGCACAGAAAACTATAGACAATATTTGTTCTTTATCCGAGACGCTTTCACTAATGGAGAATTAAATTTGGAATATTGCCCCGCTAGTGTGATGCTAGCAGATAGGGGAACTTCAATGCAAATAGCAAATTGTAGTTCCTGAAAACGAATTGTTAGGAGCGAATTTGTTCCCCTATCTGCTAGCATCACACTGGCGGGGCAATATTCCAAATTTAATTCTCCATTAGTGAAAGCGTCTCGGATAAAGAACAAATATTGTCTATAGTTTTCTGTGCTGCCGATAATTTACCATTTCTGAGCGCCTTACGGTTAATTTGTTGTCGAACAGTTCAGGAATAACGACAGCGTGGTCTACTTTTAATATATTGTGCTTTGCAGACTATTTGGCACTTTTGATTGTTCCTCGTACGATTTAGTTAGATGTAAATCGTACTTGATTACATATTGCTATCAATTGGCGATGGTCCTTATGCAGTAATGGTGCGCTCAAAAGATATCTCGCGCATGGTCTAGCATATCTAGACCAATAACATGGGTTTGGCACGTTCTACAAGTGCCATTTCCATCCTAACCCTCACTAAAATCACGATTTCAGCATTGCTGATACAAAGCCTCTATGATTTACGACTAAATACGGACGTTTATTAGTGCAACAAATAGGAGAATAAACTCGATGGAACGCGCGATACGTGTTACTAGCGTTTATGCCACCTGGGTTCTTCAATTCCATCATTTGAAGCAATATAAGCGGCGATTGTTGATGACTTCGAAACTATGTGTTGCCGTTTGGTATGCCAAGCTACGATATAGTCAGACATTTAGTCAGCACCTTCAGAAATAGAACGACAGTCCTCGTCGTCATTGGCCCAATTTGGGTCAGCATAAACACGTACAAGCGGCATGTAATTTGAACAGCGATAAACAAATCTATAGCGTTTTGTGTTGTCAACGTATATGTTTACTGCATTCCAACGCGGGTTTGAAGCCTGATCAGCCACTTGGTTGACGGCGAACGAAATACCTGAACGTGTTATTCTCGCTAAATACAGTTGTACACTTACTTTCGGTCAAAAAGGGGCGTCACCATCCGATTTAGCATCTTCGGTTTTATTGTAAAGCAGCATGCATCCCTGATTAATAGGTGTATTCTTGATCTATAATCGCCCATTCTAAATAGGTTTACGATTGCAGCAGCAAAATTAGAGTGATTCTAAATAGTAATTGCGTACAAACGATCGAGTTTTACTCGAATTCCAAGAAACGAATTAATTTTACAAATATCATTCACAACGAACTTAGATTTGAGCAAATGCATGATTTTGAACTTATCTGATTTATGCAGATACCCTACCCGAATGTCATCTACATAGAAAAGTACAATATCATATGTTTAATCAATATGTACACCGGGATCTGAACGAGTAGGGTACAGACCATATGATATGAGGAATGTGTTGATTTCAGCATTCGATTCATGGTCAGCCTGCTTTATACCATGTAATGTTTCTATATCTCCGTACTATGCCCTCCTCAAAACCTGTTAGCTGTTCAAAGTATGCAGTTTCTTTCAGCTTCGCCACATTGTGCTTTACACCCAAACTTGCCGTTTTTGGGGGGTTCGTCAAATTGACATCAAATTCACGCGTGATCTGATAGAAGGAAATATTTGTACCCAGGTTGCTGCATGTTTGCTGTCCAAAGGCTGCTTAAGCACCTCCTGCACACACGGCTCGTGCGGACAAGAAAACACACTAAAAAGCCCGTTTGGGCACTGGTAGGTGCCTCACACCCGCGCCAAGAGCGCACTCGAAGCCAGCGTCGACAGACGAAGGTGCTATTATGAGTCATGCCGCGTAAATAGCATTATTCTTCTCTCTTAATACTGGTGTGCCTAACTGATAAAGAAATAATGGAATGTGCTCTATTTTGCTTTAGAACAAAATCCCTCAAGATGGAAGATGCCGTTCTTAGACAGCATGCCCAACCCAATACCGTTTTTCACTGTCTCTATAGATTCTATTGTCCTGGATTGCCGCACAAAGAGCTTGCCCGAATAGTCTGTAAAAACAATTGGGAACTGGATTAAAGTGTATGAGAGCACAGGAACCTATCGGTGAGCTGACCCAAGCACTGTTCGGAAATTTTCATCGGCCCACCAAGAGTGGCTATGCGACTTCTTCGCAGATCATCCGGTGGCTTACATTGATGAGGATCACGGTGGGTTTATGCGTGCCTACCACCTGATCATTGCAACAGCATAAGTAAGGAAACTTATTCACAACGCTGGTTTGACAAGAAAACTTCTTGAGCGGTGGGCAATGCACATCAAAGAGCTGGATGTTTTTCGCTTTGTGGACGAGCTTGTCCACATCAACTGGTGCTACAGTAACTTAGTTTTTCTTGACGAAGTGTCGTTTGACAACCGCAGGATGATCCGAAAGCGCGGATATTCACTCCAAGGGCAGACGATCGCGATTCGAGGTGATTTTCAGCGATAGCCGACGATTTCTGTGCTGGCGTTTATTGAAGTAACCGGCGGCATTGACACTTACAACACATTAGAAATGTTTGATAGAGTGGAGTGTTTTAATGCTGTCGAGATTTTACCTATTCGGTGGCAGGCATTGTCTGTTAGTATTCTGGCTCCAATTCCGTTTGGTTTTTGGATGGTTCATCGATACACCGCGATCCTGGTATTATTCATAGCATCGATGTAGTCCCGGTATTCCACCCTGCATACTATTCATTCTTCAAACGAATCGAGTATATGTTTGGATACATCAAGAAATGCTTCCGGCGCCATTACGTGGTGTCATCCGGCAGAGACGGGCTTCCATTTGTCGTGGAAACATCAATCGTTTTGATCGATTCACTATGTCAAAGGTATTTGACCATTGCGGTTGAGAGGTTCAAGGGCATTTCGACCCGACCGGGCCAATATCAAAGGAGTCGCGACAGCCATGAAGAGCAGCGAGCGGCACATGAGACGTTGAAGAAGTGGTTTCAAATTTAGGATTCTTAGTGAAGCAAATAGATGAAGAGTAAGACTAATGGTGAAGTACGTTGTGACGTTTGGAACTACGGCTCCTGTACGGTATCGGGCACGTTCTCCATTGTTGGTCCGGATCGGTCACATCTGTGGCAGGAGGAAGCGGGATGTCCTCAAGGAAGCCTTCAAGCGTGTCTCCGCGGGCTTCTTAACCCATTCTCCTCGTTATCTAAGCGACGTCGAATTGCCTCCCAATCGTTTTTCAACTGGATGTTATCCGCAATCTCACCATTAACGACAGCAAATGCCA